GGGTTGAGGTAGAACAAGGGAGAGGGGGTTCAGATGAAGACCAAGCCCCCCCCCCTCCACATCCTAGGGCACGCAGGGAAGAACGCAGGAAAGAGCCATGTGGGTTGTGTGGCTCACAGGGGAGGAAAGGGCCCTGATTCCTTTCACAAGGCACACTTGGCGATGGAGTTTAAAGGAGAGGCAGTTGGGAGGGTAATTTTTCAGGAACAAATGCTGAACAGATAACAGATAATCAGAGTTGGAAGGGACCTTATAGGTCATCTAGTCCACCCTCCCCGCCCAAGCGGGATAGCAAGAGAGAAGTCTTCCAATATTTGAGGGGCTGCCACAGGGAGGAAGGGGTCAAGCTATTTTCTAAAGCATCCAAAGGCCAGACAAGGAATAATGGATGGAAACTGAACAAGGAGAGGTTTAACCAGTGTTAGGGATATACACCCTAGCAGAACGTGCAACGGCAGTCTAGCAGGCAGGCAGATATGTGAGACAAAACGTTGTAGTAGCTTACACTCAGTAAGACAGATACACTGTGCAAGTTAAATAGTTTTTATTCCAGCAAGAGTTATAGCATAGTCAAACAGTCCATATGTCATACACAAAGTTCAGTCAGTCCGGGGGTTATTCAGTTTGCAAAGTCCAGTGTCGAAAAAGAGGTCAGTAAACTTACAATAAATCAGTCCAGTGATATATCTCTTTTGCAGTCAGAGATATGAAGAAAAATCAAACCCCTTTTCTTCTCTCAGCAAACACGCAGTTATCACCATCAATCCATCATTGTCAGCAATCCAGTAAAAGCCGGCAAACAGTGAGCTCTCTTGCTCCCTCTTATGGTGATTTTACAACCGCACCCAAAATACTTGGTTTACAGTTTAAAGTGATACATACACTTAAACTCACTAACATAGTTTATATATTATTTTACCCAAACTAAGTTAGGTAACCAATGTTATCCCTTATAGATCATCTAGTCCACCCTCCCCACCCAAGCGGGATAGCAAGAGAGCAGTCTTCTAATATTTGAGGGGCTGCCACAGGGAGGAAGGGGTCAAGCTATTTTCTAAAGCATCCAAAGGCCAGACAAGGAATAATGGATGGAAACTGAACAAGGAGAGGTTTAACCAGGAAATAAGGAGAAACTTTCTGACATTGAGAACAATCAACCAATGGAACACCTTGCCTTCAGAAGCTGTGGGAGCGTCATCACTGGAGGCTTCCAAGAAGAGACTGGACTGCCATTTGTCAGAAATGGTGTAGGGTCTCCTGCTTGGGCGGGGGGTTGGACTAGATGACCTACAAGGTCTCTTTCAACTCTGTTAATCTGTATAATCTGTATATACTCCTCTTTCCCCCTATTTGCAATTATGTCCATGTTTCTTTTGCTCATCTTGAGTATCCGATGGCAATGGAGGAATGTGACTTTTACTTTCTCCTTGTTAATTTTTTAATCTATTTCAGCTGTTGCCGTTTTGCCAGTGGTCCTTCTCGGGATGTTTTTAGGTGGCTTCATCATGAAAAAGTACAAGCTAGGAATCCTTTCTGCTACAAAAATGGGATACACAGCATCATTCATTGGATTTCCCTTCATATTTCTGTGTGTAATGCTGGGTTGTGACAACCACCCAGTGGCTGGATTGACAGTGACCTATGATGGGTAGGTCAATGTGTTAATATGTGTGTGAGTATGGATAGGCCTGTAAGCTTATGGAGTGTGTATGCATGCTGGAAGACCATCCAGATGTGTATGGCATTGATGGTCCTTTTAGAGAAACAAGATAAGTTTATCCCATGGCCGTAAGCTATGATCAATGGATTCCAGCTAAGGTATCCCATCAGAGGTGACTATCTTTTTGATGTTTGCATTTCTCATTGGAGGTGGTTTGAAAATTAAGAGCAATCTCCCCCCAGCACATCTTATTCCCCCCTCCTCATCTTTCAATCATAATTTTATTTTTGTATTGTTTTAGAGATATGTTATGATTTTAATATATTATGCTGTACTCCACCCAGAGTCATTCTGTTATGAGATGGACAGCAAATATATGAAGTAGATTAGATTGATGATAGATCAATGGATGGATGGATAGATGGATAGATGGATGGATGGATGGATGGATGGATTGATAATAGAAAGATAGATAGATAGATAGATAGATAGATAGATAGATAGATAGATAGATACCATTAATAGATGGATGGATGGATGGATGGATGGATGGATGGATGGATAGTGATGATAGATAGACAGACAGATAAATAGATGATAGACAGACAGATGATGATGATAGATAGATAGATAGATAGATAGATAGATAGATAGATAGATAGATAGATAGATAGATAGATAGATAGAATAGATGGATGGTTGGATAGAGATGATAGATAGGTAGGTAGGTAGATAGGTACATGGATGGATGGATAGAAATGATAGATAGATAGACTTCCAGTTTGGGCTTCTTTGGCGACAGACCAAAATCCGCGATCATGCACGGTTTCGATCTGTGCTCACCACCGGAGTGCCCCAAGCCACTTGGATTCAGAGCTAAGCCACCCCATAGCGCTGGTGAAGAGAGGGGAGGCTGCCAGCGGGGTTGAGGAGAGCAGCATCTCTCCTCCTCGGCTGGTCACTACTCCCTTTCCCAAAGGCAGTTGCAGCGGTGGTCAGAAATGGCCATTACAAAGAAGAACCCGACTGGACAAGATTGTGCAGAAGGAAGATAAAAGAGAAACTTTTGACTAACCAGATCGAATTAAGAAAGTAACTATACAAGGTACCCTGGATTTTGAACTATAAAGAATAATACTGTTCCCAAAAAAGATCTTTGAAGCGGCGAAAGAAAGAGGAAAGGGAAAAGATTTGGTGTTTTTTTCTCTCTTACATTGACAGTTGTAATTGGCTTTAAATGCTAAGAAGAAGAGATCTAACCAAGAAATTGATATAAATCCACTTTGACATTAATAGGCAATTTTAAGTTGAAAATAAAATGTCAAAGGGATAATAAAGACTTTTGGATATTTTAAAAACTTTAAAAGGAGGAAAGGAAAGGAAAAAAGAAAAGGATGGGATATGGAAAAAATGGAGAATACCACCTGAAATTAAAAAGAATTAACAGTGAAATTTTAACAAGACTCCTAAAAGATACATTGTAATTGAAACTTTGCTACAAGATAACAGAACCTCCGGAAAGAGAAAGTAAAAAAAAGAATCATGAAGAAACAGCTTTGGATTATTTGGATTACTCAGTGATTTTTGGAATTTTGGTTGTTGGATTTTAATGACTAAAATTAATTGGGTGGTTGTTTAAAAGTGTTTAAAATGGCATCACTCCTTGAAGAGCTAAAAATGGAACTTAAAAAGCAGAAAGAAGATGCACAAGAGGGAAGAGGATCTTTTGGCTTCATATTTCAATTTTTAGAAGTGGAGATTTTGAACTATGAAAAACAACAAGAAATGCTTGCAGAACAAGAAGGGCGGGACAAAGAAGAAGCCATCTTTAATGCTCAAGTAATTCTATGTGGGATTAAAAAGGAAAGGGGGGGGGAAAGGGAGTGAAAAACCCAAGATCTGAAAAAACAACCAAAAAAAAAAAGAATAGCCTGAAAAGTGATTACAATACTAGGAAGAAGCAGAAGAGAGGATTACAGAAGGGAGAATTAGAACTAGAGAGAAAGGGGGTCATAAAGGCGAGGGAGAAGAAGAGGGGGGAAATGGAAAGAAGAAATTATAAAGGACAGAAACAGGATATAGAGAAGCAGGGAAAATGTACAAGGATTCACAGAGATAATGGTTGAAAATTTAATTGAAAGAGAGGATTCTGCAAGAGTACATTAGATAGTATACATTAGAAATAGTAATGGGTATAGAAAATATGAAATATAGGTGATTAAAGTGATAGATAAAATTGGTACTGTTATGTAATGGAATGTAACTAAATGAAATAAAGAGAATAAGAGAAAGGAAGTGGGAAAGGATGGGAATATTTTAACTGTTATCGAATGATTTATTAAAATATAATTGAAAAGAAATATGAACATCAGATGTTAAGATGAAATTGAGTAGAATAACAACTCTATTAATTACTTTACTTCCTTTTCTGTTTAGAATTTATTGATTTTTAAGGGAATGTACCAAATAGAACTTGGTTGATAAATTATGTGAAATGGAATGTTATAATTTTATTTTTAGAACCTAGTGTGTATTTCTAAGGGAATGTACCAAGCCGAATTCGGTTGATAAGAGTTATATGTTATAAAATAGAGGTTAGAAATTCAATGTTATAATTGTTAAGATATAAATTAAATCTTAAATGAGATTTGAATGGACAGTAATTTAAAGATATAAAGGTGTTATACTCCAGTTAGTAATTACAGGGGAAATCTTGTTTTATGAGAAAAGAAAATACGAAAGTGTAAATAGGACAGACAAAAGTATAAATATAATGATTAGAAAGATACTGAAATTTAGAAAAAGAAGAATATGTAAATGAGTTGATGTCTGTATAGAGAAGTGATAACCTGGAGTCATGCTGTTCTCAAAAAGATATTTTAATTCTATGTTTTGTGAAATAAAATTTTTACAAGAAGAGATGATAGATAGATAAATGGAGGGAGGGAGGGAGAGAGAGAGAGAGAGAGAGAGAGAGAGAGAGAGAGAATACCTTGATCCATTTTGGATGCTTCATATTGAAATTCCGTGAGAACTTTTAAGTGTGCAATTTCCCCAACCCCCTTCTTTTTTTTAAAGGAACACAGCTGCTCAGAACCCGCTTTCCTTATCTTCAGCCTGCAATTCCAACTGCACCTGTGCTACAAGCCAGTGGGATCCTGTTTGTGGGGAGAACGGACTCACATATGTGTCAGCCTGTTTTGCTGGTTGCAAAAACATAACCAGATTGAAGAAAAAAATAGTAAGGATGAGAGTTTGACTTTTTCCATGTATGTCTTTGGTCTGGAAGCAAAGAAATGAGAGGTACAAAAAAACCCACAAGAGAGGATTTTGGCTTCCTCACTTTTTCTTTTAAACAAGATACATGAAGTCTAAGGCTTAATTTTTAAATTCATACTGCAAGGTTTGGGCCAGTTTGGTCTAGTGGTGAAGGCACCAGGCTAGAAAGCAGGAGACTATGAGTTCGAGTTCAGCCTTAGCCATAAAAGTCACCTGGGTGATCTTGGGCCAGTCCCTCTCTCTTAGATCAACCTACCTCACAGGATTGTTGTTGTGAGGAAAATAAGAGGAGGAAGGTGTGTTGGATATGTTTCAAAGCCTTGAGTTATTTGTAAAAATAATAAAAGCGGGATAAATGTGTTTCTACTGCAGTGAGCAACCATAGATATCAGGATCCTTCAAACACTCATAATCAAAGTAAAGATGTCATCATGTCAACTCCTATAAAGAGCATCAAGAGTGTGACGTATTAGAAATTTAATAAATTTTGACTAGAATAGAATAGAATAGAATAGAATAGAATAGAATAGAATAGAATTCTTTATTGGCCAAGGGTGATTGGACACACAAGGAATTTGTCTTGGTGCAAATACTCTCAGTATACATAAAAGAAAAGATATATTTGTCAAGAATAATAAGGTACAACACTTAATGACAGTCATAGGGTACAATAAGTAATCAAATCATATTAGGAAACAATCAATATAAATCGTAAGGATACAAGCGACAAAGTTACAATCCTACAGTCACAAGTGGAAGGGTATGGGTGATAAGGAGTGATGAGAAGATTAATAGTAATAGTAGTGCAGACTTTGTAATAGTTGAACAGTATTGAGGGAATTATTTGTTTAGCAGAATGATGGCGTTTGGGGAAAAACTGTCCTTGTGTCTATTTGTTCTGATGTGCAGTGCTCTATAGCATCATTTTGAGGGAAGGAGGTGAAACAGTTTATGCCTGGGATGTGAGGGGTCTGTAAATATTTTCACAGCCCTCTTTTTGACTCGTGCAGTATACAGGTCCTCGATGGAAGGCAGGTTGGTAGTAATTGTTTTTTCTGCAGTCCTAATTATTCTTTAAAGTCTGTGTCTGTGCTGTTGGCTTGCAGAACCAGACCAGACAGTTATAGAAGTGCAGATTTAGAAATGCTTTCCAGTTTTTCTGGGATGTTTATTCAGGGGTGGGCTTCTATCGGTTCGGCCAGGTTCGGCCAAACTGGTAGTTCTGAGGATCAGCTGGGAGACAACCGGTTCGGTTTGCTCCAACGATCAGCTGTTGGGCCCAACTGCCCACCTGGGCTCTAGGCTGTGCTTTATATCTTGTTTTTCAAGCTCAGCTGATATGTGCAGCACAGTGGATTGCTGCGCATCAGCTGTTTAACACACAGGGATTGCTGGAGAAGGTCAGTAGCAAACGCTCTGCGCACCGAACCAATTGTTACACTGTTTGAATCGCACCCCTGTGTTTATTTCAATTTCCCAGTCTACTTATAGCTCCAGGATTTCTCAATCAACCATCTCCAGCACTGGGCCCCAGGCCCCAGGTCCAACCACCATAGCCAGGTTTTAAGGCTCTTCTAGAAAGCCCAAAGGATGAAGCTGGATCTCCCCCCCCCCCCCTGGAGGCAAGGGGTTCCAAAGATTGGGCTGTCCTCCTTGACCCCACTAGCCAAAATTCTTTGGCAGACCAGTTTTGAAAAAGGCCCAAGTGAGGCAAGTCAATCCCATTGAAGTGAGGTGGGCCCTCAGAGAATCTGGTCCCAAGCCATGGAAGGATTTCAAGGTGATCACAAACACCTTGGATTGGAACCTGAAGCAAATTGGCAAACGATGCAGCTCTGGCCTTACATGTGACACCCTAGGTGCCTCCAAATCTGTCTGTGCAGCTATAGTAACTGTATCTTTGAAATTCTCTTCAAGGGTGTCTCCATTTAGGCAGTGTTACAATCAGGGATGGGATCGACAGGGTTAACTACCGGTTCGGTGATTTACGATGTTCGGTGATTTACAATGTGCTTCCCTGCATGGCTGCGTACGCGCCTGTAAATTGTCATCAGCCTTGTGCCTGGACAGCTGAGCAGTGCTGCGTGCCGAGAAGCAGCCTTTGAAAAAGTACTTTTTTCCTGCTTTTTTAACTGCAGCTGTGCCTCACACGGCAGCTGAAGTTGAAAAAGCAGGAAATAAAGGTCAGGTAAGAGCCCGGGCAGGCGTGTGGGCAAAAACATCAGCAGACATAGAACCAGTTCTATGTCTGCTGCTCTTCAGAGCTACCGGTTCTACAGAGGTAGACAGAACCGGTAGAAACCCACCCCTGGTTACAATAATATCACATCTAGTTTCTGCCTTGTAGTTAGTAGAGGCTAAAGTCCTGAAAGTTAGTGCCATTAGATCAAGACCAGAGGTGTCAAACTCGGTTTCATTGAGGGCCGCATCAGGATTGTGTTTGATCTCAGTGTGGGGGCATAGTCACCTCGATATCACTCATGTTGGGGGGCTCCCCTCCCAAGCTCCGTTTTTAGCTGCGACAGCCTCCTCCAGTGCTCTGCTGATGAAAATAGAGCTCAGGAGGGCCGTGCATGGTCCTCCTGAGCTCCGTTTTCTCTGGCAGAGCACTTCAGGAGACTATTGCAGCCAAAAACGGAGCTTGGGAGAGCTGTACGCGGCCCTCCCAAGCTCTGTTTTCACTGGCAGAGGCACCATGGGCTGGTCCTTCACTGTTTCCAGGGCAGCCCTGTAGGCCAGATCTAAGCACCCCTATGGGCTGGATCCAGCCCCTGGGCCTTGAGTTTGACACCCCTGATCTAGACCATTCTAGAGATGCATTCATCAGATGTTTCCATTTCGTAGCCGAAGTGATGGGGTGCAAGATGCCCTTTATTGTCCCATATGCTTTTCCTTATAGGTTTTTCACAACTGTAGTTGCATTGAGCAAGATGATGCTGCATTGAAGAATTCTTCAGCGGTGTTGGGTGAATGCCGAAGAAGTGATGAGTGTTCAAAAAATTTTATTTTTTACATCATTGTCAAAGGTGTGAGCTCCTTTATGTACTCACTGAGTGGTGTTCCTATGTACATACTCCTTATCAGGTAAGGAATGAGTTAAGTCAGGGGTGAGGAACTATGGCCCTTTTATGACTTGTGGACTTCAACTCCCAGAATTCCTGAGCCAGCCAAGCTCCCAGGAATTCTGGGAGCGGAAGTCCACAAGTCATAAAAGGACCATGAGTTAAGTAAAGAGCCAATAAGACAGCATAGCTACTTAAGATTCCACTCAGACTTTTTTTTAAAATTAAGAGTCAGAAATGTAAACCTCAATGAAAATAAATGTATCCTAGAAACCTATAAATATTTCAGCATTCCAGCTGTTCCTTAGGCTGTTTCAATGACAGCATTCGAAACAATTAAATTGTAGTTTCTGCCTTTTAGTGAAGAGATAAAAATGTTGCACTATGTGTCAACCATTTTTGTGGTACCTTTTTTACAAAAGAAAAAGAAGTGAATATTTCTTAAAACAATCCCTCCTTGTGTCTCTCTAATTTCCTCCCCTCCCCCCATAAAACCCTGTAAAGGGTATATTTATGCAGTATGGAGAAATCTTAATGTTGACCTATGGGACTACAACTTCCATCATGCATAATTTTTCATTCCTGCTGATTGAGGCTGCTAGTTCAGCAGTATCTGAATGTCCACAGCTTCACAACGCCTGAATATGAATAGAATTTTATCCACCTTTGCTTTCACTACAAAGGGAGATGAGAAATTAGAAACTGTTTAAGACAGGGGTGTCAAACTCGATTTCATTGAGGGCCGCATTAGAGTTGTATTTGACCTTGGAGGGGCGGGGGGCATGGCCAGGGGGCGTGGTGATGATGGCCAGCTCGACCTCAGTCATATCAGGGGCACCTGTGGTGGCCAAGTGCTAAGGCAGGACTTCCCTGAAACCCTCTCCCCCCTCACATTATAATCACCTCCCTCCCTCCCTCCCTTTTCTTTTCTTTTTCTTTCCTTCTTCCTTTTCCTTTCTTCTTCCTTCCCCTCTTTCCTTATTTTTCCTTCCTTGCTCTCTTCCCACCTTTTCTTCTTTTTCTTTCTCTTTCCTCTTTCCCTTTCTCCTTTCCTGTCCCCTTCTCGAATGCTCAAAGGCAAAAGGGGAAACATTTCTCCTTTTGTTTTGTTTTTTTTAGTTTGTTTTGACAGCCCCATTTTCACCCATGACGGCCTCCTGCAGCCCTCTGCCAGTGAAAATGGAGCTCCATTTTCACTGGCAGAGGCTCTCACAGGCCAGATCTAAGCACCCACAGGCCAGATCTAAGCATCCGGCCCGTGGGCCTTGAGTTTGACACTCCTGGTTTAAGACAATTAAGATTTTGTCTGTGTGTGAAAATCTATCTGTTCTGTATCTCTTTCCAGTTCTGATTGTGTGGAGTGAGAGGAGTCACACAATAATATTCACTACATTGCCCATAGTATGGAAACTGAAATATGTGGGAGGAAACACCTTCTGTAATTGGTTCTTTGGTCCATTGAGCCTAGTATCATTGGTTTTGATTGGCTATGCCTGTCCAGGAACATAGGGAGCACTTCGTGATACCATATCAATCAAAATAGAGCTTGATACCATATCAATCAAAATAGAGCTGGAAGGGAACTTGGAGGTTTTCTAGTCCAAGCACCTGCTCAGGCAGGTACAACCTGAGACAAGTGGATAACTGACCATTTCATAATTTCATCATTTTCACTGAAGCTGCCAGGAATCAAACCTGAACTTTTCAACATTCACAAGGCACATTACCCTCTAAATGTCCTCATTCCTACCACTATACCAGCTGGTTTGTGGAATTGCTTTGTGCCAATCCAAGCACAGCAAAGATATAAGGGGTGCTTCTCCATCAGTTAAACCTATTCGTAACATGAAGTTCGTTTATAGATTTTTGGGGGGCAAACCCTACAGAAGCACGATTACTAGTATGGTTGATCTGTCCTTTGTTAGATCTGTACCTCAAGACCTGAAGTCACTTGCAGTCGGATTCATGATGCTTGTGATAAGATCATTGGGTAAGAAAGGCCATTCTGGTTACATGGGATATTATTGGACACTTTCTTTGAGGTTTTCTGACATACTGATATTGTTCAGAGTACGGGAAAATAATTATGAAAGAAAGGCATGCTCTGTTCATATAAGAAATAACGGATGAGATTTTTGAGTCAAATTAATTGGCATCAGTTTCCTGCCAACTACAATCCACTACCTACTGCAGCCATTAACCATAGGCCTCTGAAAAAACCCTAGGATGGCATGAAAATACAGGTAGTCCTCAACTTATGACAATGGAACCCCACGTTTTGGTTGTTAAGTGAGGCACTTGTTATGACAATGGAACCCCACAATTCTGTTGTTAAGTGAGGCATTGGTTAAATGAGATTTGCTCCATTTTATGACCTTTCTTGCTATAGTTGTTAAGTGAGTCACTGCAGTTGTTAAGTTAGTGACATGGTTGCTAAGTGAACCTTCCCCCATTGACTTTATTTTATTTATTTATTTTAATTATTTGTTTGTTTGTTTGTCAAACATGGACAAGATGGCAGGTATAAGTACAAACAAACATGAAGGAAGGAAGTGAATACAGATAAATGGGAACAGTAAGGCAGGGACGGTAGGCCCGCTGATGCGCTTATGCACGCCCCCTTTAAGGACCTCTTAGGAATGGGGTGAGGTCCACGGTAGACAGTTTGAGGTTGAAGCTGTGAGGGGTCAAGGTTGTAACAATGGAGTCAGGTAGGGCATTCCAGATGTTGACCACTCTGAGGCTGAAGTCGTATTTTCTGCAATTAAGTAGGGGGCGTGCATAAGCGCACCAACGTGCCTACCGTCCCTGTCCTATTGTTTCTCTTATTCTTCTTTTATTTTTCTTATATGTACCCATTTCATGTATTCACAACTATGTATACACTTATACTTATTATCTTGTAAACAATTGGCAAATCAAATAAATAAATAAAATAAATAAAATAAATAAAATAAATAAAATAAATAAA